AAATTTCTAAAACCAGTTTGTGAGTACAAAAAGCTGTTAAAACTAGTTTGTGAATTTAAAAAGCGGTTCGAACTAGTTTTTATGTAGAAACAAATGTTAAAACTAGTTTGTCAGTAGGAAAACTGTTACAACAATTTTATGCGTGCTAAAAGCTGTCAACAATAGTTTGTGAGTAGAAAAACTGTTAAAACAACTTTGTGAGTAAAAATGGCTGTCAAAACTAATTTTTGAGTTCAACAAGCGGTTAAAACTAATTATTATGTAGAAGAAAATGTTAAAACTAATTTGTTAGAGCTTCGAGAGATATTTCAAAACAAGTATACGTACTCTAGTTCAATTAGTGAATTATCAAACTGAGTTTCTCTCGGTTGACTGTTTTAGCTCGCGAGTAATTTCAAATCAAACCTCCTTTGCTCTAGCAAACCGACTCTCATCTTGTTATCTGTAATAGTTCCCGATATAATTAAATACACGTTTCTTTTTATCTCATTTTAACTATTATGTAAATTTAGTATACCTTTTTATACAATTTTGTTAATAATCGAGGGGAGAATTCTTGTTGCATAGTTCATAAGAAATTTGTGGTGATTAGTGACCGTTAATCGATAATTATTTAGAAATCGTGAGATGCGGTCTGGTGTGATGTAGGTTTCAGAAAAACATTTTCTTATCGTGCCAACGTTTCGATCTTTATTGAGATCATTTTCAGGGCTGAAAGTGTTTGTATTCTATGTAATTGTGCCATTCTTGCGTGTCGTGTTCAGTGTGCTTTGAGCCCTGAAGATGATCTCAATAAAGATCGAAACGTTGGCACGATAAAGAAAATGTTTTTCTTAAACCTACATCACACCAGACCGCATCTCACGATTTCTAAATAATTATAGTTCATAGGGATTTTAAAACGAGTTTTACCATACATTGATGTTTGTCCTTTATTTAAAAATCGTACAAACCGAATCTCATTTAGCTTAATCAGCGTAACTAAAATAATTGGTTATGTCAGTCTAATTTGGACGAGATTTTGATGCAGAAATCCTAATGCTGTACAGAATGTTATTAACATGAATTCATTTTTTGATCTGTTAGACTGAGAAATATTCCGAAACAAAATGTTCTTTCGAGTTTGACTAAGATCAGTGTAAACATTCAGTGTGATATAGTGAAAAATTAAATCGAGTTTCATCCGCTTGTCTGTGAAGCTCGAGAAAATCCAAGATAAATAGTAATTTTAAGCGTACTTTGTACTTGTTGGTAGGGTTAGGTTAAGTGACGGGCTAGGTTAGATATGACTAGGGTTAAGTCGGTTTAGGTTATGGATGGGTTATTATTAGGTTATGCTTTTTTTTAGTTTTGGATTTAGTTAGGGAGGCTTGCTGTAAAGGGAAGTGAAGGTTATATTATGTTAGGGTTAGGGACGGGTTATCAAATTCTTTGATAAACCACGATTTAACGGTGTGCTTTAAGCACAGAACGGGGGATACAACAGCTCTTAAAGAGCGCACTATAATACACGCTCCGACTAATAATATATCTGGTTAGGGTTAGTGCTGGGTAGAAGGATAGTGACGAGGAAGGGTTAGAGGTAAGGGTGAGGTTAACTAGTTAAGGTTAAGTTGGTTTAGGTTTCGGTTATGGATCCATACTTGGTTGCAGTTTGTTCCATTATTTCAGAATATTTTATTAAGTGTACAAACTTCATTTAGATATCTGCTAGAGTTAAAAACATATTAAAAAAAATAGTTTTTGCTATCTCGTTGAAAGAATTAGCGAAACATTATATGTAAACATTGAAATCACGACGAATATATTTACAATAATAACATATAATATATTGCCACTGATACAAAATTTTATTAATTTATTTGGTTTTTGATTTAAACTAAACAGAAATTTTCATTATTTGTAAAATAACCCATAAAAGATTGTGATGGGTATTTCATTCCACTTTGTCAACTCCGGTGATGACGAGTTTGTAAAAATGATCCCAGACTGTTTTCGATTTTGGTATATTGAATATTTTACTGCCGATTGCATCATATCTTTAACTCCTGGCGTATATTTACGCGAAATATAAAAAAGATATTCCTTTAAGATATTAAAAAATTAAAATAACAGACACAATCAAACTGAACAGTTAAATGCACGGTACCACTGCGCTTATTTCAGTCTCCCTTTTACCCCTTCAGGGTAATGTTGCGATGTCACCTCTCCAGTTATTCTTTTCAAGCACGAGGGAAAGGAGTCATCGAGGAATATATGTAAATGCGAAAGTAAAGTGGTTGCGGCGGAGGGTAAAGTGGTGCCCAGAGGGGATTGCCCGTGACAAGGGGTGTTTAGGGCTTGCAGCACCATTGACTTGCATGAGCCTCTCTTTGTCTACCCGAATCATGTTCAACGTATGTAAATGGCCAATCAGATATATCTCAGGTTGAGAAAGGCTGCTTAGATCGGCATAGGCAAGTGCGGACATCACCTTCAGGACTTCATCCCTCAAATCAAACGTCCGCCTAATATTATTTTCTTATTGATTTCAATAAAACAATCAATTTCATCTGTCCCCCTTTTTAAATCATTTGCATCCACTTCTTTTTTAATCAATTATATAAAACAAAAATCAGGAATTTTTTCCTCATTGCGGCACCAAATCATTTAATACCTAAAATGAATCCCATTGATGCTATTTTTTATCACATATTTATTATAGTGATATAAAAAACCAAAATATTTTATTGTCAATATCTATAAATAATGCATCTTACATTAAAAGAAATATATTAGCTCAGCATAAAATGGTCCAACCAAGAAGATAAAGTGATTAAAGATTGTAATGTATATTCGATATCAAAAACCCCTTTCAGAATGGAACTCCCTGCTGCAAGATGAATGGATGTGATTCCTATATCTTATATTATTGGCCGGGAACGGGAAAGTTTTAGGTAGAACAGAAAATTGCTTCTCATCAAAAGTTTTATTTTTTTACCTTTCACACAATTCTAGCATAAACGTTTGATCATAATGATATGATTTTTGTTTCATTTTATAGACTAATAATCGCAATGACCCTTCTGCACTTTGATCTGAAGTGTTCGTCCTTGCCTGAAGCTCCTGTGTAGGACTTGCTTGCGACATATCCTATCTTGGTTGCAGGATTTCCTGTATAGAAACCCAAAACGTTTTCTGCGGTCTCCTCTTTTTCCCGGCAGTATCTGCTCAGAGTTTCTCCTCTCTATATTCCTATCCAGTGTAAGTGCATTATTAAGCGGCAGTGCTTGATCAGGAGTCCAACCAGAAACGTTATTCTGTTGCAGTTACCATTCCGTAATTCTTTTGTAAGCCTGGTGATTGGCCCTTATATAAATCTCTTCTCGCACTTCACTCCTGGGTTATTGTTCCACAAGTTTTTCGATTTATTAAGGATCCATTTTAAGATGTATTCTTTCTAGTTGCAAGGTTTTAGGCCATGAGATTATTACCTCCTTTTTCGGCCAATATATCCGCACGAAGTATTTTTTTAATTCAAAAAACTGTGTAAAACTACAAGTCAATTGATTGAATTACATTATTGACAAATATTACCGTTCACTTTTTGAAAAACAAACCTCGCTAGGAATTAGTATATAATTAGAATGTCAATTAATTAAGGTTTTTATAGTCGAGATAAAAAAGTCATTGTCAAGAGCGGGATTCGAACCCATGACCTTCGGCTAGATACGCCGCTACTCTGCCACTTGAGTTATCGTGACTTCGATCTACTCGGACACTAACTTCCCATCTGAACCCCAGCTTTCGAATTTTCCCTCCTTTTCGCTCGTGACACTGACTTTTTTATCTCAACTAAAAAAACCTTAATTAATTGAAAGGTATTAACTGGTCAAGTGGACCACGAAAACTAGTGAATTTAATGTTAAAATGAAGTATATCTTTACTAAAGCTCTCCGTGGCAATATCATTTGTCGCCGAGAATCAAATAGATTACACGACATTTCAAAAATGGCAAAAAAAAGGGAAAATTCAAAAGGTGGGGTTGAGATGGGAAGTTAGTGTCCGAGTGGATCGAGGTCACGATAGTTCACATGGTAGAGCAGCGGCGTATCTAGCCGAAGGTCGTCGGTTCGAATCCTGCTCGTGACACTGACTTTTTTATCTCAACTAAAAAAAACCTTAATTAATTGGAAGGTATTAATTCATCAAGCGGACCACGAAAACTTGTGAATATAATTAGAATATTGAAACAAATATATGTATGTTCTTGTTTTTTAATAAACCAAATAGATTTACAAAAATAGGTTTTGGAGTAGTTATCGTAATTAACGTAGTAGTAAATAAACAAATGGCCATGTAAAAAGCTTAATAAATATATTTAAGTAACGTTATGTTTTAGAGTTTGATGATGGAACATAAACTACAGACTCTTCTGAAAAAATGCATATGAAAGTTTTAGTCTGAATTGACTAAAATCTGATGGAATTTGATTTAAAAACCAGCTGTTCGTATTAAAAATGCACCTTTAGGTTTCCTATGTAATTATAACGTTCACCCTATTTTTTTAGTTTCATATAAATCCCCTTTTAAAGTTGTTAGTTATCAGGTAAGGAGGTCCGTCCTATTAGAATCCCGGCAAAGTCCGTACAATTTTAATTGAGCTTTAATTTCAAAATTAAATTTTTTTAATATGGAATATAATATTTTAGAAAATTTATTTACTTTGAAAATGATTGAATACAATTGTTTTTTTTTCTGTGAGATAAAAAAAAGGTTTTATTATGCCACCTAATCCGCAATCAACACAATGTCAGCCGGAGGCAGTTCATTCATTTCGTACCTTGCTACACCCAGCGGGTATTTGGACGTTAAGCCCTCCTTTATGACAGGAATTACTTTTCTTTACTTTACTAATCAAATACAATCCCAACTGTCTGAACTTATGTCAACAGTCACGATGAAACCAAGACGCTATTTCAGCTTAACACAAGGTCTACATTAAAGGTTTTTTTTTCTAGGTCTCGTGGATGAGAAGGAGAGACTTGCACATAATCTCCTTTCAGTCGTACATCTACACCGCTGATTCCAGATTCAAGGTTGCACACCGTTTGGACGATCCCGACTCTTGGAACCTGCAAATAAACAACATCACTTTTAACGATGATGGAGTTTACGATTGCCAAATCAACACAGAGCCGATCATGAAACGACCAGTTCGGCTATCCGTCACAGGTTTCGTAACAAATATATATTTCATTATATCACCTTCACTTTTTTTTTCTTTCGTGACTCAGTAATTGAACTGGTCATTTGAAAATCTTCATTAGTTCGATCGTGAGCGCGTGAAAGAGGCAGCACTGCTAAATGGTTTTGTGCTGTTCAGTCAATAATCTCTTCCCTCGTGAGCAACTTGTTCTTGGACAGGGCTTTCAAACCTCGCGAATATTAACGAGAAGATAAACGTATCTTCTTTCTTTTATTATATTTATGATGTAAGTAACGTGGATCGATAGGCATTATTCGATATATATTTTCCATTTGTAGCGCAATGAATCCCCCACTTAACGACCCTGTAAATTGTGACCTATATGTTTATCATGGTAACTGCTTCCTCCAATGTACCATACCTGCCGTAGGCAAAGTTTCTCTCGAATCCTCATGCAAGATTGGTGGGTCGACCGGGTTCATATGATATACAGTACCAAACGTATTGGCTATTATTCTCCATGCTTTGGACTATACAAGGAATTTCCCCGTATCACCCGTTTTGCTGGTTTTTTGGAAAGGGATCGCCCATCCTGGCTACATGACAAGAGACTAAAGAGGCTTCGGCAAAAAAGACCATATAAGGTTCCCGAAATCAAAATACGTGGCATCGAAGATTAGGGCAAGGTCAACAGGAGGCACCTAGGGTTTAATCAATGCGTACACAGTGAGCAAAACCATAGCTTCAAAGACAAGAAATGAGGACAACTCCTGAGTATGTTGAATGAAAGAAGTCAACGTTCAGGGAACCCGCTGGTATAGGCCATATTCCTATCCTAGGACTGGGCATCGTCCATATAGACTCGCCCAAAGTTCTCCTAATGGCATCCAGAAAAGTTCATTAATGAAAATAGAAAAGATAGGAAAAAATATAAAACTAGCCTTTAATGTGCTAATATAGAAAAACGGGTTAAGGTGGCCATTCACGATCGCACCAAATGGAACCGCGCCGAGCCGTAAAGTTCCATTTGGAGTGCCTGAAATTTGAGGGGGCATTCACGACCGCTCCACAGCCAGTCGCTCGGATCTAGTGAATTACTTCCTCAAAACGGATTACGATCTTTTGTGCTACGCTGATATTTGTTTATATATAAAAAACAATAAACCGAAGAGGAAATGGTGTAAGATGGCTCCTGAATAAAACCCTTAATAATCACATCGATTTGATGAAAGATCTTTCCTTTGAACCAGCTGATTGGAGGAACTATTTAAGGATAGATGAAACTTATTATTTATATTTACTCTAGCTTGTTATCCCTTATTGATTATAAAACAAAAAACAGTCATGAGAAATATCATCACTCCACATGAAAGGTTGGCAGCCACATTACGATTTCTCGCTACAGGGATGAACTTCGAAGAACTTAAGTTCTTTACTACGATTTCTGCTCAGCGCTTAGGGGTTATCAATTGTTTGTTTTGAAAAGTCTGTCTGATGACAGAATGATGATAATGATTTTATTTCTATCGTAGTAATCATTGTCCACCACTTTCCGTAAATATGGTAAACTTTTATACAATTCAATCACCCCAACAGTAAAATCACGACTGGATGTAATTGCCAATAAAGAATAAACGTTTTTGACTTTTTGAAAATATAAGACGGAGATTTTTACTCAGTGACAGAAAGACGGAGACTGCGCCAAAAAAGCGGGTTTTCTCATTCAGGGCGCTCCAATATTCCACCGTTCACGCCATAGATGTTTGGAGTGGCGCGATGAAGTTTGAACTGGTCGAATATTCGGCGCAGCCCGGCACGCTAGTTCAGCTTTGCCATCGAGGTGGTTTTTGGAACGGTGTCGCTCCGTTTGGACTGCTGGGAGCGATCGTGAATACATTTAGTCTTAAACTACAAAGATACCGCGGCACAGGAATGAACGAAAGGCCTCGAGAAAAACTAACACCCTGGAAAGGCACCAGGCTGTAGGCAAGAAACTTCCTACAACCGCCGATAGTGGTGAGGTACTTCCCAAGCTGTGATAAAGAAAGTACACAAATAAAAATATCCTCATTTTCTTAAACAAGCAAAACCAAAACCTCCAAGTAGAACCCGCGAAGGTTGTTCACTGGAAAGAAAAGAGAAGATTGGTGATCTTTGAAATGACCTGAAGAAAATTGGCAGGTTCGATGGCGAAGCAACACATCAAATCCTAAAAGAAAGATGCAAAGGACCCGAAGTAACCTGGCTGCTCCTGTGAATTGGATAAACAGCTCTCAAGATTAGAGAGCAGCACACAAACCCCAGGAATATCAGGAGAGCATAGAAAGAAGGTTGCTCAAAAAAAAAAAAATCTTGAATCCTCACCCAATAAATAATGGTAAGCGCTTTCAGATCGAACACAACAATGAACATATTGGAGATTATTCCCCATTCTTTGATCCAAAATACTGGGCTCCCTATCACCGCCGTTGCCAGTATTTTTATAAGTTACTACTACTCATCTCAGCATCATTTGATCGTTAATTCACTTAATACGCTTGACGGGCAATATGGCCGAAGTTTTAGAAAGTTCTTTAAAAGAAAAGGATTTTTTCTTAAACACACATACGACAGGTTTGTTATTCCTGCTAACCACAGACATAAGCAGGATAACACAAATTCGTCCTAATCGTAGCATTAGTTTTTTAAATTCAATAATTTCCTGGTCCGCTTGACCAATTAATATATTACAATTAATTAAGTTTTTTTAGTTGAGATAAAAAAGTCAATGGCCCGAGCGGAATACGAACCCACGATCTTCGGCTAGATACGCCGCTGCTCTTCCACTTGAGCTATCGTGACCTCGATCCACTCGGACACTAACTTCCCATCTCAACCCCACGTTTTGAATTTTCCCTCTTTTTTGCCATTTTTCAATCCCGCTCGTGCCATTGACTTTTTTATTTCAACTAAAAAAAAACCTTAATTAATTATAATTTTTTTTTCTAAGCAGTTGAAATTGTAGTCGAATTTCAGACTGTAGAATTCCAACCGATGAACCATTTTCATCTGGATATCAACCACAAGTGCTTATTAAACGAACACTTTTTCGTTAGAATTCGTTAATTTATAATCCCAATTGGTTCTTGTTTCTCTATTTTTTGTCTTTTTTACTGCGTCCGTTTTGAAAAATCATACATTTCTGTTTTCAAACTTCTCTAGGTTATTAATTTTAATCTTTAGGATTTAAGGGTGATCCGAGAAAATAATCATTGATATTACATGAGAATGTCAACTCCGTCGACATTTAAATGACTTTTTAAACACTGCTAATACAAGTAGAATTAATGAAAACTATCTATTTGTAAGAATTGTTAATCTTCGCTTACTCACTGATTAGTCCTAACATTTATTTCGAACACCTCCTCAAAAATAGATTTTAAGCATGTACAGTAAACCTCCAGCTATTTTATTTTTGAACTGCACACACATATTAGACTTAAACCATTTTCTGAGATTGAGCAACCGAACCAAACGAAGAGTTATCTATTCCGCTAAGCAAGAAGTTTTTATTTATTGAGTGTAAAAAATACATTGTTTTCACTTATGTTTGTGTTGATTGTTGCACAGAAAGGCCTCAGAAGATCGAACCGGAGATAAGGGAAATGAAAGACGATTCTGGCGTTTGTAAGTTACGATTTGAGTTTGGATTTACAGACGTTTTGCGATTTCTTTGGAAATTAATTGGGATGTTTTATGTGTGTGTTTCTTTACTAACATTTGTCTGCTTATTGTTCTTGGGCTAATTATTCTAATGGTTTCTTATAATGAGATCCAAACCGTAACATTAATAAAAATAACGAGTCAATGGCTATGTCAAAAATTTCATATTAGGACTCAATAACCTCAATAACTAGATATACCTGGAAAAAATATCTTTTCTACACTTCAAATAATTATCGCGTGCACTATAGCCCATATCCAATACATATTTACCATCAATTGTAAGTTCAGAAATGCATGGTACAGCTGGATCCCAGAATATCCAGCTGTGTAATCCAATAACAGGGAGAGAAAATGTTGCATCCGTGATCTTGTTAAGGCCAAAAAAAAAAGTTTTTTGTGTTTAAAACGGGCTTACGCCAGTCATATCACCATCATTTTCGCTTCATCACATAACATATATAGTATATATATTGGATAGTTTTGGAAAAGTTCGCCAGCCTGAAAGAGGGCGCCATAAAAAGAAGGAGAGTTTTCGCGGAAAAAACCTCTCGGATTAAAAAGAGGATTTTTTCGCTCTCTTCTGTCTTGGGTCGACCATGTGAATACGGGCATTTTATTTCTAGCCTCTCCTAAATTTAAAAATAAATATTTCATATCTCAACTGAGTGTGGATTGTGAGCAGAGTCCTTGTATTATCATTTTTATTGTTTTATTGTATTATTAATGTATATATGTTTTGTATTATTTTTTTTAAATTAGACTTTTTTTCTGAGGAGAACCACATAGTTCCTTAATTAATTTGTTGAATTCATACTGTTTAGAACCAATGCTTTCTTTACATATATTCATAATCACATTTAAAAACTATAAGAACACACTTTGGAAACTATTTTATGTTAAGAAATAGAACCGACTGCGAGACCTTTGTTATGCTTTTTACCAACAAATTTTAGGTCTAATCCAACAACCATTATCTCGCCAAACATTTCGAAATCGTACAAAAAATATAACTACATTTATGCCATTAACAATTCTACAGACAGTGCTACTCAAAAGTTGGAACTGGTTTGTGACTGTCAATTATTATCATTAGTGACGCGGACCCGCACACGAAGCTACTAAAAAAACGATCGAAATCACGAGTTTCTTGAGAGAAATCATGAGAGGAACATCCTCCTTCTCTTTGTTCGTTGACAATGATGATTCCAGTATGAAGCTGTCATAACTGTACTATTTGTCCTACAGAAGAAAATATACAAATTTCATGCGATTTTTCCAATTCATTTTCAATATCGTCTTTTTTGGAGTGTAAAGTTTTATAAAACAGAATGTTTTTAAACTTCTTTCATAAGTAATATGTTCGCTTGTTGATAGGTCACTTCGAAAATCATCCGAAACTGAGGAACTTCACTTACTAGTGATTCGGCAGCCGAGCTGCCTGGAATTGATTAGTAACGCGTCATAAACCAGTAGCGCCGTTTGCGATGTTCAATACGTATCACTTTCTTTTGAGTAGCTCCATGTATAGAAGGCCTAACTTGGTGCACCGAGAGGGTTCCTTAAAATAAAACTACCCAGATGTGTGTAAATAACGTGGAAAGGGCCGGCAAACAGCTAAGTCATGGGCGTGTTTTTACTTCCTTTTATAATCTTTTACAGCTTCTGCTTTTATATGTTTATTCAATCGATATCCTTCCTAAAGTGGTAACTTCTTGTTTTTACCTCAAGTTGTGAACTACTAAATGAAAAGAAAATATAAATACATGTATCGGTAGCACTTGCATATCAACTACGTCACAGCCGTCAGTGCAGCTTCTGTGCTTCGGTAGATAGGCCAGAAGGTCAGAAGACCGTTTATTGGAGTGAACTATGAAGAAGAGTAGAAAGTTGACAGTCGACACTAGAGATTTAACTGGCGACCAGTCTAACTGCGCTCTATTTTAAACTGTAGTAAACAAATTTAAAGATTCACCTATTGTCATTTATTCCAATCGAACATACACCAAAACAGCGCGGGAAGACAGCTCTGAGTACTCGATATTTCTCGGGGGTAGAAAATGCTAGTAAATTTTACTCTCTAGAAATTTCATCCAATCATCCCAGAGTGTTCGATACAATTCAGCTACAATCTTTCCAGATGGTATGGTATGGTATGGTGAAAAATGATGCTAGGAAGCGGGGTTTGCACTCCCCAGGCACTGCAACCTTCTGGATTATTGTCCCTTCCTAGTTCCTTAGTTCAGTGCGATAGACTCAATCCTTCTCCTTAGAAGTATCAGGTCATTGACTGTCGCTGCTGCAATTTGATTCCCTAAGTTTTCTCCGTACGTTCGGTTAAATCTCCATTGAGCTGTTGCTTCGCATTCGAAGAGGATATGAGTGGCTGTTTCTTCCTCTTCATTACATAATCTGCAAGTGGCATCATCGTTGTATATACACATGTTGTGTAGATGTTTTCTGAGATGCCAGTGACCGATTAGTGGTCCAACCGCTACTCTGAGTTTGGCGCTCTCCAATTGCAGTAGTGCTTTTGCCAGTCTCGGAGAGGGTTGTTTCATCATGTCTAGCACCGCTAGAGTTTATCTACTTCTACTTTTGTTTTGTTTGGATCTATTGTGCGATGGAGGATTCTATATTTGTATTTGTTATCCCAAGAATAGGTTTGCGGCCTATGTATGGTCTTGCAGATCCTCCTCTGGCCAGACTATCTGCTTTCTCGTTACCCAAAATTCCCCTGTGCCCTAGCACCCAAGATATCATCAAGTTGTTGTGTGTCCTTAGGTTTTGGAGATTTTGGATGCATTCACTGATTAATTTTGATGTGATTCTTTTACTGCTAATTCTTTAATGGCTGCTTGGCTATATGATCTCATGAGTATTTTTTCCCAGTGTAACCTCTTTTAAGATTTTCCAAGGCACAAGGATTGATGACATGTATTTCTGCTTGAAAGACCGAAGTTTACTTCCTTAATGAGTTTGATTGCTCATGTTTTGGGCGTGTACAGAAAGCGCCTGATCCGGTTCCTTCGTTTGTTTTGAGGCCATCTGTATACCATATCATTGTATCTGATGCTCTGCTGTGTTCTTCCTCTCCTTTGATGTCCGTTGAGACTTTATGGGAAGTTGTGAAGAATGTTTCCGGGATCATATAATCAGTTCCTCATTACTATTAATAGGTGTCTGATTTTGTTGATTATGGTTGTAAGCCCCAAAAGTTTAGTTCCTTTCCAATTTGATTGTTTCTGGAGCCTAAGTGAGCTTTTCCTAGCCTTTCCTTGTATGAATATTTCCAATGGAGGTAGGATTAGCAAAGTTTCTAATGCATTTGTAAGGGTTGGTCTCATTGCCCCTGTGATACATAGCTTTGCTAGTCTTTGTATGCTACCTAATGTTTGGGTAGCTACGTTTTGTTGAGCTTTGTTCCACCAGATTAGTGATCCATAAGTTATTCTGGGTCTTATTATCTTTCCAAATTAATCTAGGTTTTTTCCTTAATAGTAGACATCAAAGAATGTACAAAACAAATAAATACCTCGATTTATTATTCCAGTAGCTTTCGGTCGATGTGGCGTGATGATGTGGTCTGGAATATAATTAATCAGCCTCATTATTTCTAAAGAAACTTTACTTGATCATATAGTCTGAAGATGTCATCCGGGAATATATTCCATCAACTAAGGATTTTTCGATTTTTTGACGACAACGCATGGCCACTTAAACAGAGAATCGTGTTGGATACCAAGACTGATATGGACATCTCTTCTTGCCGCCATTTTCTTCAGAAATTAATCTAATTTGCCATAAGAGGTGGAATTAAAAATTCCCACTGTCAGTAAACCATGAGATGTAAAGGAGGAACTTGTGACAACATGATTAATAACATACCGGAAAGGGAGGTAATTGCTAATAGATAACTTTTCATCAGATATTGAAAAATAAGCAATACATAATACTATGAGAAAACTTGAACTTTTCATTACAATGGTTAGGAATGAAGTAAAGTGGTAAGATTTCTTTTTTAAGCTCTATGGGTGAAACTGTAGTTTGGGCTTTTACGATCATCCTGGTCTTCTTATCGTCGCTTCTTTGGTGGAAAACTGAAAGTTATTAAATCTGCCTTATCTAGCTGCAATAAAAACGAATTAGAAATAAGAACAACCATTTTTAATATTTATTGTTATTTTTATACATACACTCATATTGGAATGCTACACTTTACTTTACCATGTAAAATTGATCAAAATAGTACAAGAAAGTGTTTTTAATGTTATTTGTTTGAAAGGAACGAATCAATAAAACATCGCATAGATAAGAAGAAAAGCGAAGCCGTGGGAAAACTTCATTATAAAGGCAACGAGAACCCGCTTGGCCAACGTTTGTAATTATATTTCATTCCTTTTGTCTGCAAAAAACGGCAAAGTCGAGTTCGTACTCCCTTTAATTAACTTTATGATACGCTAGAGCCTTCGTATAAATTAATTTGTGAAATAAGAGTTCGGATTCAGAATCTGGGCCCGGCTATATATTTTAGAACAAGAAAATAAGACAACCCTTCAAAAGTTTTCGTTATTTTCAATGACATCCGTTAAACAATTGAAAGTATCTGACAATACTTGTATTTTGCAGTTTCACTGTACTAATTTATTCACTCTCATGCTTTTTCGCTTGTTTCCCCTTAATCTTATTTTCTCAAATTCGTGTGTTCAATTACAGTATAACATTATGTTGTTGATGTGATTTTATATGAAGAAGCACAAACATTTTACTTAATTAATTAAGGTTTTAGTTGAGATAAAAAGTCAGTGTCACGAACGGGATTCGAACCCCGACCTTCAGCTAGATACGCCGCTGATCTACCACTTGAGCTAACATGACCTCGATCCACTCGGACACTAACTACCCAACTCAACCCCACCTCTCGAATTTTCCCTCCTTTTTGCCATTTTTCAAATGTCGTGTAATCTATTTGATTCTCTGCGACAAATTAGATTGCCACGGAGAGCTTTATTGAAGGCATACTTCATCTTAACTTTTTAAATTCACAATTTTTCTATTAATTGGTCAACCACGAAAAGTATTAAAACTTTTTATTTTCTTGTTTTTCAAAATCTCTTAATTAAATTTTCCTTCGGTAAAAACAAAAAAAATTAACATAATTTATAATAAAAATAAAATAAAAATGCTAGGGAATGTAATTCAAAATTGGCAATATCACAATTCATTGTTGAGCAGTTTATATAAAACAGGGCAGCTTTATTGTTTATAATACTGATCAATATTAGGTTTTGTCTTCAGTTTTAATTAGAAGTGAATATATTTATTAGTGTGAATACTCCTGATATTGAGACCACCCTATTTACCTTAAATGAGATTAGTTAGATAAGGGTGGTGTGTTTAAAAGATGATGGGGGAATAACGAGTACTTCACCACCCTAATTACGAAAATAGTATGAGTGTGTGTACACATTTAATAACTGCATGCTTTGGAGAACGTCAAATGATCTAGCTCTTGACAGCCCTAAAGACTACCTTCTATTTCGGGATGGTTTCGTGGTTCACATGACCACATAAATTCTTTTCAATTAATTATGCTTTTGATTGGGATAAAAAAGTCAGTGTCACAAGCGGGATTGGAACCCACGATATTGGGCTTGATACGCCGCGGCTCTACCACTTGAGCTATCGCGACTTCGACCCACTCTGGCACTAACTTCCTATCTCAACCCCACTTTTTTTTTAATTTTTCCCTTCTTTTTGCCATTTTTCAAATGTCGTGTAATCTATTTGATTCTCGGTGACAAAAGAAATGGCCACGGAAAGCTTTAGTGAAGATATACTTCATTTTACCTTATTAAATTCACTAGTTTTCGTGTTCCGCTTGACCAATTAATATCTTTCATTAATTTTAAAATTGGCGAAAAGGAGGGAAAATTAAAAAAAAGTGGGGTTGAGATAAAGATAAGTTAGTGTCCGAGCGGATCGAAGTCACGGCAGCTCAATTGGTAGAGCAGCGACATACGTTGCCGAAGATCATGGGTTCGAATCCCGCTCGTGACTTTTTTTATCTCAAGTAAAAACTTTAATTAATAGAAACATATTAAATGGTCAAGCGGACCATGAAAACTAGCGAATTTTTTAACTATCTTCAGCCGACTTAGCACTAAATGTTAGTCGTCGCTTATCGATCGATCGGCGGTAGATTATATTACATTATTCAAGAAATTTCCACGATTGCATTAAAAATCTTGTAAGACGTTTTAAGGCGTTTTTATCAAAAGCCCCATTGCGAAATTGCATGAATTCAAATGTGGAATACCGTTTGTACTTGCTGTTTTACTAAAAAGTTGTGTATTCGTTTGTTGTTTATTTTGTTTGAAAATTTGTGCTCTATTTTCATTTTAATTTGAAAGTTCTGTCACAGTTTTTTGGTGTAACATGTCAATTTTACTGATAATATCATAGAACAAAATGCGTAAGGGCTGTACTAACAAAGCCAATGATGATTTCTGATCGTGTGAACAAAAATATTTCTGATTTCAGATGGAACTGAAGGGACGATGATTCTTGGACAGAAAGAACGTTTCATCAAAGTTGGAAGCACACTAACGCTAACCTGCCATTCGAGATCAGTCGAGTTCTACCACATGAAAGGGCAACGTCCGACCAGGCTTGTCGACTGGCTACAAGATGACAAAATCATAATTTTTGACGTAATTGTTTCCTTTTAATTTATTCCTTTAAAAAGTCTGCATCTAAATAATATTTTCTAGAAGTAGTAGATCGTACATAAATAATAAAATTTAAATAAAAAGGATAAGGTCCCGAGAACAACCCATTTGATCTATTCCAATTTTTCCTGGAGACAAGGTTCAAAATATTGTAACTTTGTAATAGATATTCGTTGATTTCTTTCATAAAAAGCATCGCAGTATGAAGGTGACAAACATCCAGGATCTACAATTATATTCAACTTCGATCGTTGTTTTATAATGCAATTTTTCACCCTGTTGACTTGTCACGTCAAATTTGAGCGCGCACGGTGGATAATTCGCGAGAATTGGCGTCGGCCACAAATCCAGCTTTCATTTTTTCCACTTGTCAGTTTTATCCCATTCACTCCCTTTTCAATTCGCGTGCAGAAAAAAATAAAAAATATCTCGTTCATTTTGTGCACGTCGAAAACGGCAAAGGGCTAGTTCCTTTTTGACAAAGTGTACAGGAAAAAACGTTAATTTAAATTCTAACTATCTGTGTAAATATAGCACGTTTATTTTTATTCTATTTATGCAAATGATTTTATAATAAACAGTTTACACTTTTAAATCTTTGTGTTCTTAAGGCATAACTAGGATAGCTGTCTCCATATAGACATGAAATTGAAATTAAGTATCCTTCTATTACAATCCATATAGACATGAAATAAAAAACAAAATTTAAACAAAAATAATAATAAATAAATTAATTAATTAATAGTGGGATTTTTTCGGAGTCTTAAATTTTGTAATATTAGTCATCCTGGACTATCTATTTACATATTTCCATTTTCTTTGGAAGGTTTGTGCCCTTTACAATATAATCTCTTTTTAATCGAAATATTGAATTAAATGAATTGATTTATTTCAATTAATTAAGGTTTTTAGCTGAGGTAAAAAAGTAAGTGTCATGAGCAGGATTCGAACCGATTACCTTCGGCTATATACGACGCTGGTCTACCACTTGAGCTATCGTGACCTCGGACACTAACTTCCCATCACAACCCCACCTTTTGAATTTTTCCACCTTTTTGCCATTTGTGAAATGTCGTGTTATCTATTTGATTCTCGGCGACAAATGAAATGGCCACGGAAAGCTTTAGTGAAGATATATTTCATTTTAACATTAAATTCACTAGCTTTCGTGGTCCGCATGACCAATTAATATCTTTCAATTAATTAAGGTTTTAGTTGAAATAAAAAAGTCAGTGTCACGAGCGGGATTCCAACCCACGATCTCCCGAGTGGATCGAGGTCATGATAGCTCAACTGGTAGAGCAACGGCGTATCTAGCCGAAGATCGTGGGTGCGAATCCCGCTCGTGGCACTGACTTTTTTATCTCAACTAAAACCTTAATTAATTGAAAGATATTAATTGGTCAAGCTGACCACGAAAACTAGTGAATTATCGATTTATGTTTTGATGTGTTTGATCAATTTTCAATTGGTGTGGAATATTTTTTTCCAAGTATGTCCATTTTTCAGCATTTTGTCTGGCAATTTTCAACTTGCACAACATTTTTAAGCTTCAAAGTTGCATTTATATTTCATTCTTTCCATAGATCTGTTGAATTAATTGCATATTTTTATAAATGAATTTTTTCAACAAATGTTGCCACAAGTTAGTTGATGTTTTTGACCCAAGTGCCCAATAATTTTTCTTTGGTATAATTGTCATTATTAGATGGATAATTACTTTTATTTAAAACTTTAATACCTCTATAGACGGAAATAATTTTGGACTTTAACATTCTCACCTTTCGCAATTCGGATAAGCGCCGTTATGGTTCTTACAACTGGCTTTTTTTCTTGAAAATCTTTTCAAAGTCTCGATGCCTTCTGAGCCGCGTTTTCCTTTTAAATCCCTCAGGACATCCCGACACGACTCTCACAAAAGATTCCTCCACCCGCCGAGTCGGTACAGACGTCAAGGGCCCTAGTGTTTTGTTATTCAGTCTGTTGTCCCAGTCCGATAGGGTTTTCAATCTTGTTATAGAATGCACTGTTTAAATTGAATTGCATTGTGTTCTAAATAAGCAATTATCACATCTATCCTGATAAGAAAATACCAACGGTTTTGAATTTTAAAATTGTATTGATTACAATGATAACAAGAACACCGGATTTATGGCGATATCCTTAACAGTTTTGACATATTTATGAATATTGCCTATCCATTTCAGTGTGTTATTCTTAACTTTCCTTTTTGGAAAATTATTAGACATTAACTACTACATTATATTTAAAATCAGGACAGAAGATTAGAAAAGAAAGTACGATTTTACTAATGTGTGTGAAACGATTGAAAAGTACAGAAAATTATGGTACTTTTTCGAACTATCATTTCCAGATCGAAAAGTATTCTTAATGTAATAAAGTATAATGAAACAAAGTTAGAATGTTATTATGTTCGGATTAATTGTAAACAAAACTTACATGGAAAATCGTTTATTACAATCCCTAAATAATTAATTTATGAAAATGTGATAACTTGAGAAAATATTCTTTTTTTAATTAATTAATTCTACTTATTGCTATTGGTACACATAGTGTAAATAGTATAGTTACATACAACTTCACTAGTTTTCGTGGTCAGCTTGACCAATCAATATCTTTCAATTAATTAAGGTTTTTAGTTGAGATAAAAAAGTAATTGTCACGAGCGGGATTCGAACCCAAGATCTTCTACTCGATACCGCGCTGCTCTACCTCTTGAGCTATCGTGACCTCGATCCACTCGGACACTAACTTCCCATCTTAACCCCACCTTTTGAATTTTCCCTCCTTTTTGCCATTTTTCAAATGTCGTGTAATCTATTTGATGCTCTGCGACAAATGAAATGGCTACGGTGAGCTTTAGTGAAGGCATACTTCATTTTAACTTATTAAATTCACTAGTTTTCGTGATCCGCTTGACCTATTAATATCTTTCAATTAATTAAGGTTTTTATTTGAGACAGTAAAGTCAGTGTCCCGAGCGGGTTTAGAACCCACAATCTTCGGCGAAATACGCCGCTGCTCTACCACTTGAGCTATCGTGACCTCGATATATGTCATCTACAATACACTTATATATATATATATTGTTATACACAAGTCTAACAGATATATCAGACCAGGAGGCAGGAGGAAGAAACAACACAAACCAGTGCTGGAACTCTCTTTTATTTAATTGGGTGGGTTAAGATAGAAACTCACGAGGACATTGTTGTTTTAAACGGCATGGAGGATTGTAAGTGTGAGACGTTGAGAAAGAAGTTAGGGCTTGTGGTTTAGGTTGGGAGAATAGTTTAGATTGAAAATTGAGGTAGCTTGTTTGGAAGATCTTTCACGGTTAGTTTATTACGTATGCGTTGTATTGATTTTGGTCCCAATATTCCGTATCTTTCTTTAATTTCTTGTCGTTTTAATCTTGCATGTTGGTTCCATGTATGTCTGCTCTCTAAGTTAAACCCAAGGTAGCGGACGTGGTGCGATGGTGGTATTTCTTGTCGTTAATGTCCACTGGTGGGCAGTAACTAAATTAACTGAACTAAACTAGTTTTCAGAGTCGAATATAAAAATTCGTCTTTTAAGGAGGAGACGTTCAAAGATTTTGGATAAAATACGCAGGGGGGCTTTTTGGTAGAGGATGGAGCAAGGGGAGATTTGAGTGGTTTTGATATTGGCGTTAGTAAAGATAGTTTCCACTTGATGTGGAAATACGTTGTGGGAATGTAAGGAAGGTGTAATGTACACTATGGCTTTTTTGGGTAGATTTCCGAGGTTTTTAGGGCTAATAAAAACGTTGCCCGTGGATTTCCTTTCGGACAGACGGAGAATCTGATACATGACGTTTGCAGGGTGGAGGAGATTACGTCCTAAAGCGAAAGGGATAGGGTAGTCAAGGAATTAATTGATATGATCTAAGTATTGATTCTTTTCTTCATTTTACCTTGCCCAGCTACCGTTCGGGCATCTAATTGGAAAAGGCACTTTGTAGTGTTTGCTAATATTCCTAGTACATAGTTAAAGGTCTAAGCTGTGTGTTTGATAGTTCGAGTTTCAAAATGTAAGTGAGATAGTTAAATGCTGCTCTAACGATGGGGTAATCATGGCATTGCCATCGCAACCTTGCTTCTTGTTTGGAGGTTATAAGTGTATAAGTGTGTATATATTCGGGAAGGTGGAAATTCGGAGAGGACTTATGATGTCATGGAGGAGAGGATGATAGATGAGCGGCGTGGTGGATTTTACTTGTGAGGACTCTGACAGTTTTTTCGATTGGTTATCACCTTCAAGCAGAATGTTTAAGTTTAAGGTTTTTTAAGGATATGTTAAAACAGTTTCCAGTTTGCTGGGTTGGTTAATGAAGGTCTGGATTGTTTTTGAAGGGGAGTTGTGTCATGAGTGAGGAGCACAAGAGGGCGGTAGTTTAAAGATTGGATGGAGGGAAAGAAGGAACCAGTCATGCCACGAAAAAATACATCAAATCGGGAATGCGGTTTTGATCAGTGGGCGAGTAGATTGGTTGATCAAGAAATAAGAAAGTGTAATTAAGAGGGCGAGAACGTTGTTTAATAGTCTGCCAAGGGAATTTGTGGTTCTGCTGTCCTGTGCAGTATGTTTTGCGTTAAAGCCGCCCTCGGCGATAAATCGAAAACCTAGTTATCGGAAAATCGGATCAAATTGGGTATAATATATGGGGACTGAGGTAGTACAATGCACTGCTGCCAAATGATCGGAAACTGGGGAAGGGAAATAGCAATTGAGGTGGGTAGATAAGAGTCGGTGATTTTAGAGAGATGAAGGTGATTGGAAGTATTATTTTTGACTAGGATCGCCGTGGCGTCTTAGGCTCTTTGTCCTTTGTGCGATGTTTGGTAAGATGTGTATCCATTTATATGAAAGTATTGTTTGTGTTAGTAGTACTACGTCAATATCTCTAACGTTTATTAGTGTTCTAGTCCAGGTTTGCC